AAGTCATTCCTGTTCGTGACGTGATTAAATTGCGCGTATGTGATTAAACTTTTATGTGATTTAAGAGTTTTAAACCAAAGAGAGTGTTTGAAAGTCAAATAACAATCATAATAACCTTTGTAAATAATAAAATCGATTTACCGGGTTTTTTTAACGCGTAACTTTACCATTGTGTAGCTAGAAATTAATAGTGAAAAACTTAAGGTCTACAAGAAGCACATAGAAAAATTGTTACGATCTCCAGAGGGTCGATTCAGAATCTTACGATAACTCAGTTGTCGACCAATTCGATTTGATATCGTACTATTTCTTTTCATTTTCATTCACAACACCCGGATCGAACGTCAAACTGTCGTATTCGAAACCGAATCGAAATGACGTCACACCCGTACGATTATTCGAACTTCTCGACCGACAAAGGCTACAAACGATATTCAGAATACAATTATTATCGAATGAAAGTTTACCAAACATTTTTAAGACTTTAAAGGCCTACCTTTAATGTCTTAAAAATGTGTATAAAAGGATTTCATTTTTTTTATAATCTATTTCACCGGCTAGCTCCGTAAACGCTGTTGAATAACGATATCGTATCCGAGTACGAATCAACATTTAACTCGGAATATTCTGAATTGAGAGAGCGTAACGCACGGTATGCTGAAGACGCTGGTTCGAATCCAGCTGCATCGAAGGAATTTTTCTTACTGATCGATCATTATAACAAACTAGTGGAATAATTTCACAAAAATATTAAATATCATAAATAATTGAATATCATGGTAGTAAAATGATATTGATATAGGAAATGAAACTATTTTTCCGGATTTAAATCGCGTATATTTGTTTTTTCAAACAAACCGAAGTTTCGGGCCCTTTACAGGTCCCATGGTCACGGTTGACTGTTGACTGTTGACGGTTGATATTTAATAAAATTAATATACAATTAATGGTTGTTGTCCTCTTCGCTATTGTCGTTAGCAAAAAACCAAAAAAAGAAATTACAGGAAATGTTGATTATTAATAAAAAGACCGAACACATAGAAAAACTTTTTCGACCCGATATGGGACTTGAACTATAGCAGCAATAGCAGCGGTAGAGCTAAGAGTTCGTGCAGAGAACTACTGCCATGTTGCCTATTTCTGCCGCCAAGCAGTAATGTTAGCATTACTGCGTTCCGGCTTAGAAGGGTAAGGGTGCTGGTGAAATTACAGGTACAAGGAACTTGTCAACTAAATCTCCGGGTGATGGGCGCAGTGGCAGTACCCCTCAGATCTTTGCGATTTAAAGCTCTGAGTGGCACTGCAACTGTTATGGACAGGCGTGTAGCTTACCATCTGGCGCACGACTTGATCGTCCCGTCAATTGAATTAAAAAAAATCAAAGTTTCAGGCCCTTCACAGATACCATGGTCACGGTTGACTATTTAAATACGGAAAAATAGTTTCATTTCCTGCACTAAGGTTTGTGTCAACGTTGTTTGTTGTCTACATCGACAATACATAAAACATACTATGATAATAAATAACAAAGAATACTGTATGTACATCATACTATACTGTCTAGTATAAGTGGCCGACCATATTACGGGCTTGTCTAGTAAATGCCTATTCAATCTATCCTAGAATAGCCCCAGATTGTAGTGTACAGGAAACACGCCAGCAGTGTAGTCCATTATTTTGTCGAACGCGTCAGGAAGGATCACGTACCTGCAGTTAAAACCACTTCTTCTAACAATCAATTCATCAATGTCAGAGCATGATAAAAAATTACTCGACGGCATTTGATGGAGTGGTACCGTAGAAATCGCATATCTGTCCTTCCATTTGCGCTTACTAATAGCTGGTTGTAGTCGCAAATCTATTCTTTAACTTTGGGTGTAATTTGTGGGCACTTCTTCTAATTCATCCGTCATTTTTATTACAGACTGTTTTGTGTCGTGTTGGTGTCTACTGGTGACTGATTGTGATAGCGGTGACGTCATCCGCTATCTCGCACGAGGAGTCGAATATAAAAAGATTAAAGGTAGGTGGTTTTAACGTCATCCGACACCAAAAAGATTACTATTTACATTTTGTCCGATTAGCTAAAATTTCAGTTCACTTATCGTCTATTCTTATTCCAACTTGCAATTTTCGTCAACAATATGTCTGTGTTTCCCTAGTGCGGGGCTAATGTTGAGCGTGTGCGTTATTATTATTATTATTTTATTACAATAAATCACAAATTCGTTTATTTGTTCCAGTGATTTACACATCATTACCATCATCATCCGACGGCAGACAAAAGTCCAAAATCATGGAACTCAAATGGGGTTCTATATTGAGTGTGTGCGTTGAGTGTGGGGGTAGGCGATGACAGGTGGATAGAAGTCAATTGTGGCTGAGAATGGGCAAAAGAAGCTGCCCAGTTGCTAAGTGGGTCGACGACATAGTACGCGTCGCGGGGCGTCAATGGATGAGGCTAGCACAGAATCGTGGTGGATCGCACAAATTTCGGGAGGCCTATACTAATGTGGATGAAATCAGGATGTGAATGATGATGATCATCATCATCATCAACCCATAATTTATCGTCATCATTAGCCCTTCGTCACACTGCAGGACACGGGTCTCCTCTAAATGGAGGGTTTAGTCCATAGTTTTCCCAAAGTGGCCCCCCAGTGGGCGCTAACGAGTCCTAAGGTTAGGTTAGGTTAGCCTTAGGTAGGGATCTCGGAAGCAATTGAGAGGAGTTGATGCTCTCCGGGGAGTGCTACCGTTTTTGAAAAAAAAAACCTGAATTATCTATACAATAAACTATACTACAAATATATAATTTTTTTCCTTATAATTTGTTTTATCTTGCCTAAGTGGGCGGTGATCCAAAAAGATTGGGAACCTATGCTACGCTGGCCTAATGTGGGTTTGGGGACTTCACACCTTTTTTGAGGATTAGGGTTGGTAAATTTCAAATTAAATTTCGCAGATAAATTCCGAAAAACTCAAACTTGAGGGGCGATAGGTCAAATCATTAGACTACCACGGCTTTTTCTGATTAAATATCAATGTTAACAAGGCTAAAGTACGGTGGACGAGTTCCAAGGTTATGACGATACGATGTGCACAGATGTTACAGTGAAATGCATACGTAATACAATAAATAAAAAAATAAAATCAGATTAGTAAATGTATTGGGAGTAGTGCAATTAGCAACTCCAGCAGCTTCATCAGCTGTCGTAATTGGATTGCATATATTATGTAACACTGCTTGATCGACATAGGTATATCTAGATGATTACAATCACTCAATACTCAATCGACCGATAAATTGTCATGTATATAAATTAAAACTGGATACCAAATAACTTATTAACTAAGGTAGTAAGTGATAGGCGAAGTATATTTACCAAAACTTCAAGTAATATATATGTGTACAGTGGATAATCATCCTGAAATAGCGGAATATTTTCTTCTGAATATGTATTCACCTTTGTTTTGCTAGTTAGTTATACGTCATAAATATAAAATAAAAAACAATGCGTAATAAAACTGGGCGGTGCATTTGGTGCGTAAAAAAACATTCCGGTTGATATTCAAAATCTGCAATTTAACGAGGTTGAAAACTATAGGGAAACATTTTTTTTCGATTTAGCGTACTGGGATAACAAAAATCCACGGTAGAGATCCGTTTAGCTCTAGCAGATTGTCTTGATCTTACAATATTTGAAATAAATATTGTAACTGATAAAATATTCACAAATGTCTTCACATGAGAATTTATCTTACGCATGAAAAGAAAAGTTTAATTAGTGTGACCATTTCGAGTGTAATTTGCTTATTTCTAAAATACAGATTATTAGAATTTAAATACTTATTACAATAATTCCGAAATTACAGAGGCAAAGTAATCACCCGCTATTCCCTACTGTTCTGTAGACAGGACTACTTTTTTTTATTTTTGATTTACGATTCCTGTCTGTTCTGTCCGATTATTCCCACAAGTTTCACGTTTGATTAAATATATTCTAGATTATTAACGGTTAAAATACAGATAAAGTAAAAGTTTAAGTAAACTTAAACGCCTTACGAGGCATTAACAGACAAAACGTGAGGAAATAAGCACAAAATTTAGTCTGATACTTTGGCATAAGAAAATGCTACTATTTGTTCGAATAAAAATCTCGTATATTTATGAAATGTAATTTTTCCGGATCTAAATCGCGTATATATGTTTTTTCAAACAAACCGATGTTTCGGGTCCTTTACAGGTCCCATGGTCACGGTTGACTGTGATCGTGTGTATTTGTTTTATCAAATAAACCAGCCGTGACAATAGGACTTGTAAAGACCCAGAAACGCTGATTCGCGTGAACAAATAAATATACGCAATTTAGAGCGGAAAAAATGTTTTCATTTCCAATTTAAAAAATGCAATAATGATAATATCTATAATATAAATGTACTAATATTTTAGTAAACAACGTCAATGTGAGGCAGACGGCAGCTTAGAATCTGCAAAGCACCGCGCCCTTCACACCACAATTAGATTCACAGTAAATAACAATTTTGTTATGCCTAACGCTATCAACATTTTCTCTGTGTGCTGCATATCGAAATTAAAGGACACACTGCGAATATATTCCCAATCTGAATCCGGTAATGGATTTCCATCCATCTGTTTACGTATCACGTATCTGTCAATATCGAGAATTAAAGACATATAATCTACCATCCCCATCGACGATGAAAGTTGAAACGTGACTAGGGTGATAATGGCAAAAAAACGCAGAATGATCGACAAGCAACAAGACAAACAACATTACCGCTCCCGAAGATTGTCGACACTCGACCCACAAATAAAATTCACACACCAAAACACAATTCAAAGATCGAACATCGAAATTTGAATTAAATCGACATCGCGTTTTGTAAATGAAAAAACTAAAATTATGTACCTTATTCGTCTTAAAAAGAATAAAATTCTTTACTCTGGATTTCAGGCTTTAAAAAATAATACGTACGCGCGCGGTCGTGTTGTTGTATGGAGATGCCCGCGCCACCCCGAGTGCTCGGGAGGCGAGAAGAGACGCGAGTGAGCGTTTCAACGCCGCAGTTGCCCTTATAGCCTTCTACCCCGAGAACGAGGCTGTGGGCGGAACTATCAAGAGTTGATAGCAATGTGACTTTAATCGATTCGCTCGTGACGTAAATTCTAAAATTGTTCTGACTGTTAATTAAGTAGCGCAAACAACAGGAATAACTTCGTTACATTAATACGATTGGTAGAAAAATATAACGTACCCTATATACAGACCATTTTGTATTTAATAAAACTTTCACTAAAGCAAAATCTTCTTTCGGACGCTATACAGATTTTGTAGTTGCACGTATTGTTAGTTTAAGGAAGGTTTTATTATCTAAGGTACAAAAACCATCAATCTGAAACTATAACTTTTTTAATTTTTAAAGGATGTCTATATACATTTCGCCTGAGGGTTATTTGACGTTTTACGTCAAAAAAATGTCAAAGATAGTTACCGCAAATATTTTCCATTAATTGTTGTATATCTGCGTTTCATATATAAATCATTTTTAGAATGAAATTAAAACTAGTTACGCCTCACGACGTAAAGTGTTGCCGAAAATGCGTTGTTAAGCTTAAAAAAGAGTGATACTGCTAATTATGACAGTTACGACAGGGTAATTATACGGCTAAGACAAAGGAAGTAATGTGTGCAACAAAACGATTGAATGCAGTGTCGGCATCTGTGTTCCCGATAAGTCTGTTATTAGGCTATTCAAGGCTAGGGTGCCCATATTTTTTTTTGCACCCATCAAGTTAGACAATGTAATACTTTGGATCGCTCTTATCGAAAGCGGTATAAAGTGAATTAATAATAACGCACACACTCAACATAGCCCCGCACTAGGGAAACCCTATGTCGCGGGTGCCATGGACACACACATAGACAACCACAAATTACACCCACACACACAACTCACGAGAGAAATAAATGTAGGCCATACAAATATTTCTCCCGGCCCGAGAAACGAACCCGGGGACCTCTGCGTGGCAGTCCGGTATGGTAACCGTTCGAAGTCGAGCTAGATCAGCTCTTGCCTATGTACCATCGTCGATCACATCGTCAAGTGAGATTTTTTATGATTGCAATAAGTACGTATTTAACTTTCATCTCACCAGAATCAATGAAGGAGCATACACACCTAGATAATGCCTGTATGCTCTCGCCTTCAAAATACCCAAGTTATAGCGGTCAGGGAACAAATCTACAGACAGGGAATTTCACTCCAGCGCTTCGAGCAAATCTTGGGTACCTATATCCACAATATAGAAATGGAAACCTAGCCTACATCTAGTCCCTTGGGTCAGTGGAATGATTCCGTGCAATTCTATTGCATTCAATGTGTATACTTTACACAAAAAGCTAATTAATCTATTTAGTACAAATTGTACAGGAGGCGGTAATATCAGCTTCATGTATTTGCTAGCCTCATCCCTGTCACCCGTGGCGGCCGTCAACAAAATGCTATTAGCCGTCATCTGCGAGCCGCTAGCGAAAAATTGTCGCCTGCAGTGGAAACTTTTCTCCTCCTCATTGCCTTCAAGAACTTCTTGCCTTGTTATGCAAGAATTTGTATTGCTGTACAGATTGTAAACCGATTTAGGCCCTACGATTATGATCGAAGTTTAGGTATATTTGTTTTTCATCATGAAACGTCTTGTGTGCACACTCATATCATATAAATATACTCAAGGATACATTTAGAGCGCTAAAAAGAATTATAATAACAATATTCATATTGTGAATCACGTATAACGTTTAGTTTGAAAAAAGAATGACATCAATCCTCTTTTGATTTGTATTCTAGTATATGTGGCCAATAGTTAGATTATATGAACGTTAATTAAATTTTTCTTGAATTGATATTCAATTATTTTTTGTGAAATTACTCCACTAGTTTGTTATAATTATTAATACAAAGATCGAACACTCAGAAAAAATTCCTT